TCTGGGGAGGGGCGGGGCTTGCCGGCTCCGGGCGCCGCGAGTCCTCCTTTTTGCACACACACGAATACAAAGAGCCATACGACCTTCGGGTATCCTTTTTACATTTTTCCCCCTCCTTAATCTTGTGTGTTTAAATTTTTTTAAAAAAATAGAGATCTGTGGCAGTGCTGGGGTGAGGAAACTGTTGCTAAGGGGAATTTGCTCTTTTCCCCATTTCTTTTTCTGTCTCTCTTCCTCTTTCTTTTTCCTGGTCAAGGTTTTAAATATACCAAGAAGTTGAGAAGCGGGATGGCCGTGTACAACTGTTTCCAGCCAAATTTATAGAGTTTTTTTCCTTTTTGCTATCACATTTTAAGAACTGGTAAATTTTTGTGGTTGAGGGATTTGAAATTTTAGCCACTTGGGAAGTATAGATTTTCTTTTTTTAAGCGGGCTGAAGGGATAATGTAAATTCCTGCCACGGGCAACATCGCAGGAAGCAGAGAGAGATTTGAGATTTGAGGCTCCCTCACAAAGCTCTTTGGCGTGCGTTTTATACATCCTTCCCCAGAACCAAAACCAAGTGGCTTGGATATGGCAATTGTCCAAAGCCAATAGATTTAGAATATTGGAATATTATACTTGGGACACTTACTTTCCCGGGGAGAGGACGGTGTGTCTTGCACACACATTTTCGTGAGGACATCTGTGTGTGTATGTGTGTGTATGTATTTCTTAAAGCAAATGATTTCATAAATATTGGGGTTTATTCTTTGTGTATATGTACAATATGTGTATATGTGCCATATCAGATTTTATTTTCAAAAGTGATTGCCTTTGGTTTAATGTGTGCAAAATAGACCTTAGAATGTGAACTTTTTCTGTTGTGCTCCCAGATGTGACCAAAATAGGATTTTGTGTGCAAAGAAAACTAAGAGGAAATCCTAAACTTGAACCTACTTACTTACTTTCATTTTATGTGCATTTGCAGTATTTTTCTGCTCCTCCTTTAAAGGATCAATTAGTGAATAATTAAATTGCCAGAGTGTATATAGTCCATGTTGCAAATGAGGGTAGGCAATTTATTGCATCTGTGGTTCAAAGCCAAAGTGATTGTTTTGCCTAAGTGGTTTTGCTTTTTTATTGTCTCACGTTCTTAAATGTACAGCTGTGTATATTTTGGCCTTTATGTGTGGTTTGGTTGGTGTGTTCCAAAGGGAACTTCTTTCTTGGCTTTTTGACAAAATAGTTGTTTATTGGTTGGGATTTGTTTGAAAAGCTCCACAGCTGGTAAAGTATCAGGAAAAATTCAGTCAAGTCCACTCTCAAAAACTGACAGTGGAGTTGATGGGGGCCAAGAGGAGGCAAAAGCAAATAATCGGAATAAGAAATGCATTCTGTTATCATGCTTCATTTTTGGAATGAAAATCGTTCCTTGGGCTAAGTTTCAGTGACAAGTGAATTAGAGGACAACAGGCTCAAAGCAGAGCCTCCTGCTGTAGAAGGCCTACTGTCACTTCCTGTTAGAGGACCACTGTCTCCTAATTAGCAGCCATACAGACAATATCTGTATTTGCAGATTGGAATAAAAGCACAGAAGTATATGGGGTGATGAGGGAGAGACTGGAATGTGGCGAGTGTAGTAGCAAGCAGGTGATTAAAAAAGGATCTACTTCATTACAAAACCTCTGTATGATGATAATCATATATTTCCATCCCTCAGCTGTGTCCTCCATTTCAAGCAGTATTTAAGACATCCAAGTAACAACTGCAATAAAATCATGTGTACAAGGTTGTGAATTTATTATAAGGAAAATGACCCAGTATGGGCTTCCCAGGTTTTTAACTTGTACCGAGTATATTTTTATCCCCTAACAATGCGAGATAGATCAGCGTTTAATAAATGCTGCTCGAATGTGGATCAGTCCACAAGTTTAGACCTGCATTGCTTTCCAAATCTACTCAGATGCTATTGACTTTTGTTACCTCAGCAGTGATAGGAATTTTTAATGAGGTTTTGCTCTAACTCTCCGCATTACTACAGGTTACCACGTACACTTTTTAGCTTCTTAGGAAAAGAGGTACACAGCTCCACTTCCTAGGCTACTCCATTTCGACATCTTGGAATCTACGCTCCTATACAATGTCTTGTAAGAAAGAGAATTCCTCATGCAAATATATCGTTGGCTTGGCTTTCTTAACAAAGAAAAGCAAATATGAGATTAGCTGACTTTTTTTTCTTTCTGGGAATTCGAGGGAACCTTAGAGATGAAAACTTTGAACTAAGAGAAACTGCTGTTTTGCAAGCGTTACCTGAAAACCTGTAACCAAGGCAGACAGGAACTAAAAATCAGCCACCATCAAGCGTATTAAATCGATCTGAGGTCAATTGTAGTTATAATCGCGTACACATAGCTTTGCGAATAGCAAAGAACAAAAGCAAGTAAACAAATAACAAACCAAAGATGGCGTCCTTCGGCCTTGAAAAGCCTCGCAGTCCTGTCCCTCCCTGAGAAGGCCCCTCCCCTCCCTGTTTCGTTGAGTGATTGGTAATGTTTGCCAATAGCAACCCGGTTTGTGCACGCCCCACCCACCCCCGTCGCCCAACCACCAATCATCGAGAGCCAGAAGCGAGCGGGGCGATCCTTTCCCGCGTTCGAGCGTTGGCCGAGTACACGAGCCGGCTAGATTGAAAGAGCGAGACGGCGGGCGCCATCCTGTCCCGCGTTCGAGCGTTGGCCGAGTACACGAGCCGGCTAGATTGACTCCGTATCTTCCCCGGTCTTGTAGTCTCAGCGGGCGTGGGGGCTTGAGGCACACTTGGAGGAACGCCCGCGGGACTGTTAGAATGGGACCCCGCGTCGGGTCCCGCGGCGAGCGCCTGTCCCAGCCCAGACCTCAGCTTTTGTGGCCACATAATGTACGCACGATGACCCAGCAACATCCCCGGCCGCGCCTCGGCCTCTACAGCGGGCCGAGGACTGCGCCCTTGTCCAGGGCAGCTTGTAGCCAAATCACACTGCCAGTCGGGAATGGTTCTGTTGTCCCTGGTGCCCATCTTGTCATCTTTGACTAATATTTAATCAACTAACATTTACCGAGGACTTGCTGGGTGCGTGGTAGGGTTTTAGGAGCTAACTTTCCATTTCTTAGTTTCTCCAGAAATGCAGTAAGAGCTCTTTCAGATCAGGCACATTTATATGAAAATCTGAAAGTGGAAATTATGGTCTTACCAAGTTGCACTTTAGCAAATGCAAATAAAAAAGGACTGTGCTTGTGCTAGATTAAAAACTCATCCCCTGATCTACAAATTTGATTTGGGGATTACATGGAATCTTATTGTTTAAAACCCTTCTGCCCTCTGGGTCTACAATTATGTTTTGTAAACCTAATGATGAGGTGGTTTTTTTTTTGTTTTGTTTTGCAGATCATTAGATGGGTCAGTCTTTTAGAATGTAAGGAAATTGTATTTTATGTTACCTGATTACCTGCTCATGTGTGATAGGATCTCATTTCTGTTAGAAAAATAGGTTTTGAGAGGACCTTCAAACAGGTGAGCCATTTTGCACCTTGTGGAGGAGCAGAGCTGACCAGCATGGAGGAGCTTTAAGGGGCCATTTTCCTTTTTTATTTCTTAAAATTAAGATTATGATACGAATTGCCAGGCTTTCCACATCATGTTTAAGAAAGTCCGTTTCTAGCCTGACCCTGAGCAAGCCAAAGGCCCATTATAAGAGCATATATCATCTGAGGGATACCGTATCACACACATCTATTAAGTATGAGAAAACTTATTTTTCATATTTTGGAGGTGAGCTCAGTCAAGCAGAAAATTCAAACTCAGAATGGGGAGAAAGCAAGCAGGGGAACTGCCGAGAGTATGATATATTTAGTCCCAACAAAAATCCATGTGACTCAGGAGAGGGGGATGGTTAAGATTGTGAACAGTCTCTGTGGATAAGTAGGTTGATATATAGTACCTGGAACATAAAGAACACTTGAGAAGTTTGTCATAGTTTTCATTTGAAATATTTAGACTCCTGAAAGTTTTAAATTTATAAGCATAGGTTTTGATGTTTAAAGCTTAAGGGAGAAAATCCCTTTACCTTTGTTTAAAAGTTATTAAACATTATTGCTAATTGTACTTGTGCAGTACTAACAAGCTATATTACATAGTGAGGGTGGGGGTGAAGTCCACTTAGAAAATATTAAACTGGGCCAGGGATTTAGCTCAGTGGTGCTGCCTCACAAGCACAAGGACTGGAGTTCAATCCCCAGGAGCCCCCCCCCCAAGAAAATATTAAACTGATTTTCCAGATGTGGTTGTAGCATATTTTCAGTTAGTGTGCATATGTTACTGTATAATTGGTAGGGAGCCAGGCATGGTGGAGCACACCTGTAATCTCAGCACCCAGGAGGCTGAGGCAGAAGGATTGCTGAGAGTCTGAGACCAGCCTGGGCTATATAGTGAGTTCTAGGTCAGTCTCACTACATAGTGAGACCCTATCTCAAAAAAAAAGTATAATTGGTAGAACAAAATTACATTTTTAAAACCACTATTTATATAAATATTTCCCCTTTTCTCAGATTCTGTGGGTTTTATGCATAGTTTTTACACATTTTGGATCTACCAGACTGTCTTCACTGTGGAGTTTTTTAGAAGTCGAGCATTTTTATGGTTGATAAAATGTTACTTCTTTAAAAAAAAAAAAAGATTATGAACAGTCTCACCTTGAACTGTCTAAAGGAGATGAGTTTTCTTTCTGTATCTTAAGTGTTTATGAAAAATATCAAAATTATGGAGAAGTACATTTTCTAGGCTCATTTCATATGTAGTAAAATTAGACCAATACTGAAATGAACCTCAAATATATTTTGTGTAGATTTCATTTTGACCTGTGTAAGACTAAAGGTCTTTTTCTTAGCGCCAATTATAAGAGTTGATAACATTTTCCTTAAAGTTTATTTTTTGAATTTGAATTTTCATTTATTTATTAACTTTTCACCTCAAGAAATGTTCATATAGAAAGATTATTTTAGAGGCTATATTCTTGAAGTGCCGGGAATTGGCCTTCTACATGCTAGGCAGGTAAGTTCATTACCACCGAAC